GCGCGCCGCCAGGGGGAGGGGTTCAGGGAAGCCCGGCCTGGCTTTAGGGGAGCCAGGGCCGAGGTTGGTGGTCACCCCCTGCCTGAGCCTCTTCCAGCCCAGGTGGTAGATCTCCAGCAAGTTGAGCACGAGCGACGCGCAGGCCACCGCGAGCATGAACAGGATGAAAATGGTCTTCTCCGTTGGCCTGGAGATGAAGCAGTCGCCGCCAGGGGGAGGGGTTCAGGGAAGCCCGGCCTGGCTTTAGGGGAGCCAGGGCCGAGGTTGGTGGTCACCCCCTGCCTGAGCCTCTTCCAGCCCAGGTGGTAGATCTCCAGCAAGTTGAGCACGAGCGACGCGCAGGCCACCGCGAGCATGAACAGGATGAAAATGGTCTTCTCCGTTGGCCTGGAGATGAAGCAGTCCACAGTGTTAGGGCAGGGCCAGCGGTCGCAGCGGTACAGCGGCTGCAGCTGGAAGCCGTACAGGAAATACTGCCCAGCGATGAAGCCCACCTCGAAGAGCGTCTTGAAGATGATGTTGAAGACGTAGGTGCGCAGCAGCGCCCCGGCCATGCGCACCCGGCCTCGCTCTAGTGCCCGGGCCCGCGCAGGGTGCGGGTTGTCCCTCCTCAGCAGCTCCTCCTCCCTCTCTTTCTTCTTTTCTTCCAAGCGCACAAGGTGCAGCACATGGCCCAGGTAGATGAGGGTGGGCGTGGACACGAAGATGATCTGCAGCGCCCAGAAGCGGATGTGCGAGATGGGGAAGGCGCGGTCGTAGCAGACGTTCTCGCAGCCCGGCTGCTGAGTGTTGCAGGTGAAGTCGGACTGCTCGTCGCCCCACACCTCCTCCGCCGCCGCCCCCAACACCAGGATCCGGAAGATGAACAGCACCGTCAGCCAGACCTTGCCAATGACTGTGGAGTGCTCCTGCGCGTTCTCTAGTAGCCGCCCCAGAAAGCTCCAGTCGCCCATCGCTCCAAATTCCTAACCTGTAAGGGGACATTGCACGGGAGGTTAGTGCAGGCAAGCTGCGGACGCCAGGTGCTTCAGGCCCGATGGTACCCGAATAGCTTCACCCAGCAATGCACCCTGCTTCTGTGGAGAGGAACTCTTCAAAGTGTCCTCCCCATCCACAGGTTCAGTCAGCCTCAGGTCAAAAAACGGGCTGGGTAAGGAGAGATTATATCTGTCCTCAGCAGGTACAGACTTGTCATTATTCTCTACACAACACAGGGTAACAACTATTCCCACAGCACTCATGGTGCCAGGCGTTGTGAGTGATCTAGAGAGGATAGGAAATATACAGAAGGGCGTGAATAGGTCTATTGCAGATTCTGAGCATCCTCGGATTTTGATAACTGTGGGGATCCCGGGGCCAGTTCTTCGAGTTACTGAGGGCCACCTGTATTCCTCTCCCCATGATCTTGGCCCATGGCACAGGGATACTACTGGGCAGACCCTGGTTGGCAGAGGTGAGACGTGTGGCCTTGTAATTTCAGAGATGAGAAAACTAGAGCTAGGAGGAGAAATGACTTCTCCTGGCCTCTCACTCCCCGTCCTCCTCTCCCAGTCGCTGGCCTCACCAGGAGCTCTGGGACCCTGCAGGCAGTGGCAGCAGTTCCAATCCCCTTTAGCTCCTGTGGGATCAGAGCAACCTTACCCCAACTGCTGTCATTCCCACACCACTTCATAACTTCTGCCACATTACTCTTCCCATTACTTTTCTTCATAGGCTTAGATTTACCTTAAATAGGAAATGCTACATCACTACTGTAAAAAGAAAAATAAGCTTTGGTATACACTGTAGCTTTCAGGACACATAGATGAAAACAAAGTTGTTACATTTCATGCCTTATTGTTTCCGAAAGTTCTGAATATAAGCTCTTTGTTTAAAAGAAGCATATTAGGAGGATGAGAGAGGTGTTAAAGATAAACAGTTGTCCCTCAGCATCCAAAGGCAATGGGTTCCAGGACCACTTGGCTACCAAAATCTTCAGATATTCAAGTCCTTTACATAAAATCACTCAGTATATACATAGAATCCATGCACACCCTTTTGTACACTTCAAAACATCTCTAGGTAATGTACAATGTCTACCACAGTGTGTATGCTATGTAAATAGTTAATACTGTGTTGATTAGAGAACAATGACAGGAAAAAGTCTGTAATGCTCTGTACAGACATTATTTTGTTCCAAATATTTTTGATCCTTCATTGAATCTGAAGCTGTAAAGGGCCAACTGTATTAGTAGCAAAGCAAGCTTTTCCCAAGACCTCCCCAGGATGGAAATGACTGGGCAGAGCTGGCTGGCGCAGAGGATGCAGGTGAGGTTCAGCAGGACCTGGGTGACTGTGGAGGGGCTTTGGGTCCACTGGACCCGGTCATCCTGCCACAACTCTGGCTCTGGTCTGACAGAGAGGGCTGACCCTGAAGGGCACACTGATCATGAATAGCTTGAATGGGCACCAAGGTGTCTCCAGTGCAGTGCTGGGTGCTGGGGAAATACGAACCCAGATGTAGTGTGGGTGCTGGTGAGCACAGCCAAAGAAACAGGGAGAGAGAGGCCATTGTGCTGTGATGCCAAGGGCACTGGGCAGGGTGCACAGGTGCAGCTACAGCTGAGGGGGCCCAATCTGGGGACAGCACTGGCTGCAGGCCATTTCCCCAGACAGGAGGTATCCTCTCTCTGAGCCTGTGCACAATGGGGTGACAATTTCATGGTCATACAGTGATGGAAGGAGATAAGACGTGGGCCATCTTTGAGGAGGTGGCAGTGCCCTGTAGATGTCAGTCACAGAGATTAGGTGTCCCCATGTGGCTGCTGCTCAAATGGCTGGGCTCTGTGAGCTGGCAGAGAAGGCTGCAGGCCCTCGCTGCCTTTCTTTGCAGGGGGGAAAGCCATTGCAGCCATGCGAGTGTGCCTGGGTTTCAGGGGACCACACAGACTCCGCTCATTGTAAATTAAATTTTACATTTTACAATGTTTATTACTTTTAAAGAATAGGTTTGAAGGTAAGTAAAACTATACTTGCTAGCAATCCAAAGAAACAGATCACCATTAATCCTCTCTTCAAATACACTTCCAAGTTTTTGCTTATTCAGCTGAAATTTCAGTTAGGGAAGTCTAACTCTACACATCCTACCATCTCCTTGTTCTGTGTTGTGACTGGCATATTTTTTGCATGTTTTTAGCAGATAAGGCGTTTCACTTTAGAAAGTTAATTACTGTACATGAAACAATCCACTCTTTTCTGTGTGTTTGTGTGTGTGTGTGTGTGTGTGTGAGGGAACCTTCTAGATGACCTCCTGCTTCTCCTCCAAGCCACGAGTCCTAACTTGGAACTGGCCCTTATAGCTGTCCCCAGAATGATGGGCACTCAGGCCTTCCTGCTAGGTTTCAGTGTGGTTTGAGTTCTGGGGCTTTGGTCCATGGGATGGAGGTGGAACTCTAACAGAAGGGGTCTAGAAGGAGGGCTTTAGGTCATTGGGAGTGTACCTTCAGAAGGGATTGTGGGATCCAACCTCTCCCTGCCTTAGACTTCTTAGATACACACACACGCACACACACACACAC